CCCCCCCCCCCCCTCCTTTCCTCCAGTTGGACTCGGCGAAGGTTTGACTGAATGACCGGCACCGGGGAATTAAACGGTCACACATGGCTAGCTGAATACAGGTCACCACTGTGCTAGTCCGTATGCGGTAGTGCTAGAGAATTTCCAACCCCTGAAACGGACGCAAAACAGATGGTGCAGTTTGGTTGTGAATGGAAAGCTCACAAACTCAGGTCTGCAGAAGATATATATTTCAAGTCGTTTTCCTGCCTCTATACCTAAGTGAGCGAAAGTTTAACTAATCAACAGTTTGGGGTTAAAGACATTAGTTCAAGAAAGTGCGCCTACAGTAACGCTCGGTACGGTGCACAGAGCTATTGGGTAGAGTAGGAATCTCGCGTCTTTCAGGTTGAGGTCCGAGAGACTCCGCAACTGGTTGGTTGGAGATTTTGAAGGATATGGAAGCAAACCGATGGCAACTGCGTTCTTGTTGCCATTACTTTCTTATCAGGTCAGAATGCTTGAAACGGTATGTATGCACAGTTAAATTGTGAAGTCTGCGTATTGACCTGTCCCTCAAAATAGGTCAAAACCGTGTTCACTTTACATATTACCACTTACCTTGTGTGCGTTGCGAGTTTGGCAGCGATCACTGAAGTTCGCTTCTGATAATGTCAAACACTTTCGTCATCTGGGAGGTTAAGTTAGATTCTTGTATGAACTCACGGACACTTATGGAGTGTCGTGCAAATCAGCATCCTCAATGTCGCTCGGTTTTTTTCCGTCGAGGATTCGCCTCTAACCTTTGCACAGCGAGCTACTTTCTGTGGGACTTCAAAGCAACGCTAATAACTTTATTTAGTTGTGAGCTAGATTTGCGTCTATCGCAGTGATTTTTACGGACATCTCTAGTTTTTTTCACCAGTCGGAAATCAACCTCGTCTTGAGACATCCATGCTCATCATCTGCGACCGTTTATTCAATGTGACAATGCTCACTTCCGATTAACCTTGCTGTCTGCAATCTTGAGACCTACCCATACAGTTCGTTTTCGGAGACTTGCGTTATACTACAGCCCCTGGGACCTGCATTTGAATATTCATTGAATAGGTAGGTGAACACATATATATATATATATATATATATATATATATATATGTATCACCGGCTTTCTCCCAAGCTTGCTGCTAATGTCACAACAAGAATAACATAAGACCGGGGAAGAAGTGTTGGGATGCAAAGCAGAGTGGACTGAGGGACAGACAGTTAGAGTGAATAACAAGAATAGCAATGTATTTGTTTGTTTTCCACTGTCCATCTTTTTATTTTTTGTTAGTTTATTGTTCACTATTTGCAGAGATTGGTTTGCAAGGAACATGTCTATCCTTGGTCAACGATTCCGGGACATGGCGTTTTATTAACACGTGATCAATCTAGTCGTGAATTGGTCCGAATCTAGTCCTTTCTTCATCATCGTACAGCGAAATACGGTGAAGTGAACTTCACTGACCGCGGCCAAACTACAAACACCTACAAGGTTAGTGGTAATATGTAAGGTGGACAGGGATTGTATCTATTTTCAGGGAGGGGGAAGACGGTGAATCTCTATGGTCAACACGCCTAGTATATAATCTAACTGTGCATACTTACCGTTCCAAGCATTCTGACCCGATAAGAAAGTAATGACAACAAGAACGCCGTTACCATCGGTTTGCTTCCATATCCTTCAAAATCTCCAACCAACCAGTTGCGGAGTCTCTCGGATTCCAACCTGGAAGGCACGGGATACCTAGTCTACCTAATAGCTCTGTGCATTCAGCTCATGTAGCGTGCACAAACTACTAGAGCAGAAAGGCGACGAACTAACCGACTTTGCTTGTCTCGTCGCTGGCCCCTGAATCAGAGAGCGAATTGCATCAAAACTAATACGTGGTCACACCCGACGCAGTTGGTCCAATAGGACCTGCGATTTTGCTCTGAGCCACACCGCCGGCAGCTTACTGCTATGTGGTCAATTTGAGTTAACGTACCAGTTGAACTGGAGCACAACGTTGCTGTCCGTCGAGAGATGTAGATAGGAACAGATGATGGTCTGCGCAGAACTGGAGAATTCGATCGCCGTTATCTGTTCGCTGGCATGGTAGAGCACAAGTAACACCTAGGTAAGCTTCTGATGCGCTCAGTTTTCTAACCTGCGTGTTCATGTCCCAAGCAAGTACAACTGTGTCAGAGCTTCGACTCTTCCGAATGAGACTGGTGAATGTATGGTAGAAATTGTTCTTTTGTGTATCAGAACTGTAGTTATTTGATGCGTATGTCGATATGATTAACAAACATCGTTTGGTGTGTTCCTTCCCTTCCGAACGCTGATTGAACCCTTTTGCTCACTAGTATTGGTCTCTATGAAAGTCGCTAAACAGGCATATATGTCGGTGGTTGTGCAAACTGGAACTGAAACTAGTGACGATTGGGACCAAACTTATCTCGCGCTGATTTGCGCATGGGTTGCGAAATCCTTTCTAGAAAAATTGCAATGAGCAATGTTTCGCCCCAGGGTACTGTACATTCTGTCAGTAAGTCCTGCAGGTCAGTACCCTTTCCCTGCTAGATCACTAATTTTGAAGTATGTTCGTGGTTGAATGTGTCATTAAAGCCATTGACTTTCTCCATTTTTTGGGTTATTTAAAGATATTAGCTTACTCTCCCATGCATTTTCTCTGTGGGCCTTAGTCGAAGAGTCACTTTTGAATAGTAAATTGTTTCTATGCAAACATCTTCTGGTTACTCTCGAGTAGAGTTTGCCGTAACCAGTATATATTCATATTTCACACACGTCTGAATCCATTCTGTATGCCAAGCAAATTATGGTACAGTAATCTTTATAAAAAAAAGTAAAATGGTCCGTGATTTGCATGTGGGCAGAATACTGCCTGGTTCCCAGGTCAAGGCGGATGAATTTTCTTGATTAATCCACAACGACGGACGGTATGTGAAAACCGCATTCCAACGGGGGCCGGTATGCAGTTCATCCGATCATACACCCTTTGGACGGGTTCAAACGTCCAAGGTGCCCAATGGAACCGATGACGATTGCCACAACCGGGAAGTTGTGTGTGGTTTGTACACCTCTTGGTTGGTTTGGAACCAGGGTTTTTCACCAACCCGGTCATAGCCCCTGATGTTGGTTTTTTGTCCTCTGCATTTAATGGGAGAATACCTCCGCTAAGAGAAGACAGTGAGTAGGGCCTCCTCAGCAGAGGCTGTTTGGGACGCTTGGTGGTATGGGAGCATTTCGCGGGATATAAGGTGAGGGTAACCAGCCTCGACCCCAGACACCTACCCCCGACCATACTGAAGCTTCCAGAGTCTGTAGCCAGTGGAACGAATAGATTGCATGGATGTGTTGATCATATTCTCGCGCTGTTCATCTAAGTGCGGTTCGGATAAACGTACATGCAGTGCTTTTTTCGAGATGTCCTATGTGAGTAAATCTGATTGGAAGCGGAGGAATAGCAGATTCACGGTTTTTATTATTGGCTGCACCTAACTGCTCCCTAGCTTCCTTGTGTTTCTATACCGTAATAGACCGATCGTAATGTGTATGTCATGATTAGCATAGGCTATACGATTCGCTCTCCCTTTCCTTTACCTTATGTTGACTGTTGCAATCGTATCTATTCTGTATTCATGTTCCACGGGCCCCGTCGCCGTTGGTGATACGTTTCTCCTTTGTCCCCATTGAACGAAACTGATTTACTATTACCGGTGTTCGCTTGACCCTTATCACCTATCAGATTATTCGGGTGAAAGACAATATTGGCAAAGCGTGCAAAAAAATCCACGGACTGCGTGGTGCCTTGCCGGCTGAATACGGTGGCGATAATGCCAGTATAGACCAAATTATTGGTAAGTTTCTTTGCTGATTCTCATCAAACTGTACTCAGTTTGCCTCTGCTTGTCGTGCAAAAACCTGTGTTGCCACGCAGATCTTCGTTTTCAACGAATTGACAGGGCGTTGAAAAGGCTTGCGTGGTTTCGCGCTCGGTTGATCGAATCTCGGTCGCAATTCTTGTGTCCTCACAACGGAAGGACTGAACTCTATCTCATTCTGTGATCATGCGGGACTGTTTGATGTGGGTGAAATCATGCGCATACAATTTTAGATTTCTCAATTATCCAAGCACTGTTGCACAGATTTGACAATTCGAATGTGAACTTACCGTGCGTGTGGATTTTCGCACCACAAACCTGACCATGTACGGTCCACTTTTCATTTGCCATAGTCTAATGATTAGATGAAACTGTATCGGATATGGTGTATTAGTTTCCACAATGCGACCATTGCGAATAGCCCCGGGGGTGGTGGTGTTATTTGAACTGTTGGAAGTATCATCACTCCCTCCTGCCCCCCGCGTTTCTGTTTTTGAGTCACACAATACTCCTTTTCAATAAACACATACGAAGGCGACTAACCCAAATGAGTTGTACATACTTATGAAGTGCAATGTGATAATGATGTCAACAAAACCAGGTGTTGATGTCTGTAGCCGGTGATCAATTGGTGAGAATAAAGGAATCACCTTCTTGCCTCGTATCTTTTGATCTCCTGTTGGACACAGTGCATGTCAATTTTGTGAACGATGCGGATTTTTGATTTCGTAGTGCATTTTTTTAGTTATTCGTTTAGATTGACTATCATCATCCAACGCAGTCATTTGGACAAGATCACTGAGTTTAGACTGTCACTTCAATGGCTAATGAAACGTTTTCAATTTAACTATCTAGCCTACTGAGCGGTTTTCGGGTGACGCTCATCAAGCTAAGTGGTTTTCATGCCGAAGTTCGTTCCGTTTCCTTTACATCATTCCACGTGCTTCCTTGAAATCTATCATTACTGCACCTATGTCTGGGTTACCATTCTTAAAATTGGCCCTTACAGTCCATACAATCTAGAAACCCTGTATCTCTATGTGTAATTGTAATAGTAATTGTTTTTTCCGACCGAGGCTGGTGTTAAATTGTAGCGGTTGTCAATTGAAGCAGAATTCGGTGCATCAACTGTCCATGAAATGCAATCCAGCTGTGCCCTACTTGGTGTCAGTTCAGACGTCCTGGCTGAAGATGAATGAGTTTATGGTTGTGCTTCTTACATACTTCATTTTTGTCCGTCTAGTCTCCCTGGGGAACGTCAATCTTAATTGGATGCAAAATTATTGGAACTGGCACAAGTACTAGCAGCCTTTTCTATCTCAGACAGATAGGAAAGATGGTTTTCCAAAGACTTTAGGGCACGACATTCCTCGCGGCAGCCCACACCAACGAAGGGTTTGTTCTTTGGAAACCCTAACCGCAGCCTTCGACTCAAAAGTCTGACACACAAGACAGTGAGGCGTAAATCCAACGCGGGAGCGTGAACGAAGCACCCGTGTGGGAGCTTATAGAGACCAGGCCTTTGAATTTCGATTACTTGTGTTGTTCGCTGGTCCGTTGATTATCGGTCCGCTTTTTAGGATCGGCCCTTGGCCTCATGCACCCAGTGAGACAAACGGAACGTGAACGGGCCAGCACCTAATTGGCTGCCCAGCTTGGGCGGGCGGTAGCTGTCCAATGAAGTGCGAAGACTTCTCCCATCGTCGAGAGGAAGCCCCAAGTACCCCGCTCCTACGTCCATCTAGCGGGGTTATTTTGACCATGACCTCTCCAGGGGCGAGTGTGGATAGAAGGAAGCCAGGAGGTACCCAAGCAGCTGGCTTTGTGAGTCTGAGCTTTGTCTGGCCTCTACCTGTTGACTTTTCAGGTATGATTGGATTTACGGCTGTGAAAATCCATCCGGTGTAGCTCGCAGCGTCAAGAAGGCACGCAAGTCATCTCACCACGTCAAGGTTCAGTTTCGTCGTGATGAAGCAAGTGGTCGACCTCCATAGATTACGTTGGTTGGGGCATGTGTTACGCATGTCACCAGATAGGTTGCCACGACTATCGATGTTTGTCGAGGCAGGTATTAGGTGGAAAACCAAGTTTGGTCAACCTAAGACCTGGCACGAGGGTATGAAATCCCTAACCAGGGTGCTCGGTCACATAGGCCCTGTTAGGCTTCCTGGATGAGAAACTCGGTATGATCGTACCCGATGGTTAGAGACACTAAATGATATGGCTGAGTGTCGTAAACAGTATCGTTCTTGCATCTCAATTTCTTTGCAACCTTAGATCACTGAAATTCTCTATTTTCTGTTCGACTCTACTTTCAACTTTCCTGTCTTTTTCCTCTTCTTCGTCCAAATGGGCAGCTAAAAGACAGCAACCAAAACCGCCGCACTGGAGTACATAGTTCATGGTTGTTCAAGCTGAACTGGACTTTTTCTATCTCCTTTCGTTTTACGATTCGCCACTTCTAATCGTCGTTTCACAGGCTTTTGTTTGGCGAACATGTGTTAGCCGGGGACGGGGTTTGGTTGGGTGACCCAAGTAGATGAAATACATCATTTGTGCTTCACTCGTGCGCCCAGTATGTTTGATTGTTTTATAGGATGTTTTAGTAACATATTGATATTCTTTTGTAATTTACTTTAGCGACGATAACTAATGCACAGCTAAGCATTCATTCAACTTACTGGTTCTGTGCATCAACATAGAAAGGTTATAACAATGAAGGAGTACGGAGTGAGAGACAGACTGGTTCAATTTTATGCCGCAACATTCGCCTCGTGCAAACCGGGTTCACATGCGGTTTCTCTTTGTCGGTTATTTGCCATGCTGCTTAGTCAGATCTTTGAACATGACGCGTACGAAAACCGCATATTGAAAGACTGAAACTGTCTTTTTTTCACGGCAGATGTTTCGCTATTCATTCGTTTATTCTTTCATTCGTTCCAGCTCAATTCTCTCCGGAATTCAAGAAATACATAAGTGGTCGTCACTTATGGGATGACATGAGTGTGGATGAGTCCAAACGACCAGAATGGGCAAAGCATTACCTGATGGAGTATGCGGACTGTCCAGAACAAGCTATGGGTACTAGTGGAACGTATGTCCAGTTGCCAACCAAAGACTGAACGTATGGTGTCCAGAAACCGTGCGACATCTGTCATTTTTCCCATGTGCTTATCCATTTTTTTATAATTTTTTTCTATTGTGCTTTATTGCAACGTGTGCTTTTCCACCACACCCGTAATCTTGAAAAGTGTGACTTTCTATTTCTCGCAAAATCTGTTTAGATAAAACACTTGTTTATGTTACGAACAAATTTCTCATTTAAAATCCATGTACGCTCGCGCCTAGTTCATCTCACGAGTTTTCGAAGAGGTGTGTCAAAGTTTTCTTATGGGAAATACTAACAAGCTCATCCTTTTCTTGTCCCGTAGAACGTTTACACAGTTGAATCGTTTCACGGCGAAAAACAAATCACATACAGTTCCAGGTAGGAGATTATGGAGAATGTAGGCTTCAATGAATTTGCGTTTGCTTTAATGGTATAGAAATGTGAGGTGTATCAAGGTTTCATCCAGTCTCCGCTTGAAAGATTCAATAGTCGGTGCACAAACGACGTGAGATGAAAGGGTGTTCCAAGTACTGCCTACTCCGACTGCAAAAGATTGGCGCCGGTATTCCAGTCGACATTTTGGAATCAGTAACTTGGAACGGTGTTCCCTAAGGTGTACATTGTTCGAAAGCATGAACAGCGGCCGGCATGAATGTTTTAGGTTCTGCAATATTTGATGCGTCAAAATTAACTCTCTCCGAATTCGGCGGTGTTGAGCGGAATATAGTCCCAATGATCATAATCTCTCCTCATAGGTGAGGTAATGCAAGCCCTTGACCATCCTTTGTGGACGCTCAAGCATCTTGCGATCACGTTGCAACCATGGACTCCAAGCTTGGATGGCATACTCTGTGTACGGTCGAATGTACACTGGTTGCAACCGTGGGAACAGTACTGATTCAAACCGGTCAAAGACTCGCCTAAGCAAGCCGACAGTCTTGAAAGCAGCGGACGAGGCCTTAGCGCAATTCATCGAGCAGCTTAAGTCCTAGAAAACTATTCCTTAGTCCTTTTCACTTGAAGCATGTGGTAGATGCTGATCCCCGAGGAGATACGAGAATCTTTTCTTGTGGCGTAGGGGTAGAAATTTGAGAAACATTGAATTCCATGTTATTCTGCTTAGACTATTGATAAACTGCGTTAACTGTTTCTTGAAGTGTTAGAGAGCCCTCGGGTTCTGTTACTGTATTCTAGATTTTGGCGTCGTCTGCAAACAGTATTGTTTTTTGACCTAACATTCGGTAGATCATTTAGGAATACGAGGAAGAGACAGGGACCGAGTACACACCCTTGTGGAACACCACGAACGACGTTGATAGATCCCGATAAGGAATCAGAAATACGAACTGATATGGTCCGTTGTCGGAGGAATGCTCTAATCCAATCAATCGCGAATACCGTAACTGTAGAGCTTCTGTAACAAAATTCGGTGATTCATCCTATCAAATTCTTCCGAGAAGTTGAGATAAATCAAATTCCCTTCATCGACTGTTCTGTTCCGTTCATCTCGAACAAGAAGCAGGTTAGTGGAGTAGGATAGCTTTGCCTGAACACATTGAGCTGACGGAAGAATGTTGTATCTTTTGAGGTGTTCCATTATAGGATCTGCCACAATTGACTCCATAACTTTCTACAACACCGGAAGCAGGGTTACAAGTCGGTAGTTAGTGTGTTCACTACGACAACCACCTTTGTATGTGGATTCCTTTTTTATGAACAAAATGACAACCAGGTTGTTCCAAGTTTTTTCCAATCCGTCAGTGATTCTCATAACTGAGTTGCAGTTTTACACTCATATGTCTTGCCGCAATTTGATTCATTCCTTTCCCTCCGTGTGCCAAAAAAGGTCACCTACCTTGGATTCTCATTTATCATTTTCTGAAAGGATGATACGGTTCATGGCATGTGAATATGCATTTGTCAACCAGAAAACCCTGACAATGTTCATTCTTGGTATTCAAAGATTTATTATGGGAATAACTTACAAGCTCATGCTTTTCTGGTCCCATAGGTT